TCTCTCTCTCTCTCTCTCTCTCTCTCTCTCTCTCTCTCTCTCTCTCTCTTTCGTGTGCCTTAGAATAGAACCATGGCCCTGTTTCTTCTTCCTCCGCACCTCCAAGAGAGAAATGGATGCACGTCTGACAGAGAGATGTCTTAGAGAGAGAGAGAGAGAGAGGTGGTTTTCTCGTTAAAATATTGCTGAGCAACTATGGTGGGGAGTAAGACAGAGCACCTATGGTGGGCAGTAAGAGAGAGAAGCAGCTCCAAAACCCATTTATGTACTCATAATCTATTTCATCAAACGCTTGCTGCTTATTGAATGATTCATACTGAGCATGGTTTGTCCGCCCTCAAAAAGTTGCTAAAATTTGATCTCAGACTATTCGGAATGCCCCCCTAATTGCTCCCTTGCTCTTTGGATATTTTAGGAGATGGGTTTCTTTCGCTGTCTCACGGTACAAAACCATCTTTCTACTTGATTTTGGAGCTTTTGGATTCCTTTTCAGTCTATTCTATTTCTCTGTCTCGAGAAAAATCCACGTTTTTTGTTTGACGTTGCGATCTTTGAATTTCCTTTTGAGTCATTGGATAGATGCTAATTACCGGGATGTCATTAAATTGAGCTGAAAATTCAGGAAGTAATTATTATTTGGATTGAGTTTTCTCTTCTTTTATATGGTTTTATTTGGCGTCCATCCGTACTTTTTGGGTTTGGTTTCTAATTCAATTTTGTTGGAACTCATTGAACAGAATGAGAATGAAACCTAATTATAGTTGTTGCGAGTTTATAAATTGGACACTCCATTCAATCAATAAAACTTCGATCATTGAAGAATGAGTTTAAATTTCTTTGATATTCTTTAATGAAAATTTGGCCATTATTGAATGGAAAATTGTGCATGAGGTTTGGAAAGTGTAATTGAAATGTACCTACAAATCCAATGGTTATTTTTGCAATTGTTTTCTTTAAAAATAAAATTAGATCTTTTGATACAAATAGGTGGTTTAGGTATTGTGCCCTGCCTTCCTTCTATCATTACTTGTGTTTTCTCATTATGCTGTCTTTGAATTTTTTTATTTAGTGTTGCTGGTACTTTCATTTGTGCTTTTCTTTGGATTAGCTGAGTGATCGAGATATTTGATCTCGAAAACTTGTTTGAGAATTTATTAGAGGAATTAAAAGAAATTCAATTTCTTTTTGGTGTGATTGCAATTACAATTGTTGTTGGGTGTCTTCCACTCTCTAATTGCATATATAAAGGGCCGTGATCCGGTGCTGGTCCCTCCTAAGCAGGGTCCCGAGAGGGGTGGGCTGGAAATGGTCCTAACCTTTGGCTTATTCACAAAGTGGCCGCTCTCAAGACACAATCCTAACCTTTGGCTTATGCTCAAAGTGTTCGCTCTCAGGATTCGAACCCATGCTTTGGCGCTGTCTACCTGAGCCTTTTTCCGTCTCAAATTACATAGATATTAGATCAATTTTCAATCTTGACCGTACATATTATACGAAATGCATTGGATGGGTTGTTGCAAGAAAATCTTATTCAATATATGCATTTTGCACATCAAATCAATAAAATACATAATGAACGGTTAAGAGAGGTTGTTTCCAGCTTTCTCAATGCCAAACAATTGAAATGCCAGCACCACAGTTTATCAAACAGGATTTCTAGCTTTCTTGCTACCAATTTTAACCTACCTCCCAGAATCTAGGAAAGTCAGCAACAGGGATTTACAGAGAAATTTATCAAACGCAACCTTAGAGACAGAGAAAAACCCTAGAACTCCATGGCTGTGTAGATTTGAGAGTAGCTGCAGCGACTGGTAATGACTGGAAACTCTTGGTTCGATAGAGAGGGATAGTAGAACTAGAAAACCAAGCAATGATGAGCCTTTTTGTAAAACCAAGGAAGAATTGGTAAGCCCAATCTTATATGGTTTTCTTTTTAGTGAAACACACCTTTTTTTTAATTTTTTTTTTCGGTTTTCTTTGTCTGGAATGATATTCAGTTTCTTGATGCATTTGGTGTTGACGATGATGAATTCAAAATTGCTTGTTGGTTTTTAGTTTTTACAACTGGATTAATGTTTTTATATGGTTGTTTTACAATGGGATGCATTTGAAGCAAATGTAATTCAAAATGGGTTAGAAGAAAATGATGTTCTTTGGTTTGAATGATGGTTGATTCTTCAAGATTTCACTCAATAGTAGAAACTGGTCAATTGAATCAGTTTAATTAATCATTTTAATCTTCTTGTTAAGCCAGGTGGGTACTATGATGTATGCCATTTTGGGGTATATTTCCTTCAAAGGTGGATTATCAATACAGAATAGAAGGTAATAGTGTACCTCGTTAATGGTCCTTTTCCCTTTTCTTTGGTTGATTGTTCTTTGCTTTTTTCCATAACTGCATAGAAACCATTTAATTTTCCGGATATTGGTGGTCTGCTTTAGTTGATTGTAAATTTATAAATGCTTTATGTGCATTTCCTATTGGTTTTTCGTATTTGGGGCTATCTTCTTTACCATCTTAAATTGTTGCCCATGTGAAATGAGAAGAATTTTGTTGATTTTGACCTTACATTGTCCCATGTTTATTGCCACTGTTTTATTTTGTTGGAATTATAATGCCATAAACAATTTTCAGTATGATATTTTGAGCACTGTAATTGATCTTAGGATGGAGCAAATATTTTAGTAGATGATTTCATCATTTACAAGTGTTGCATTCATGTTAAAAGAAAAATAACTAAGCATTTGTCGTTAAATAATCATTTCATTATGTGGTAATCTTTACATAAATAAATATTGTCCAGCCATATTGGGCTTTCCTTAAAATTCAGCATTTTTTAAGTTCAGTTAGGCAAAGAGAAGAACTTTTGCTACTTCTCTGAATGGTAGAGACCAAAGGGCTTCAGAATATAGATAGTGTGTACTTAAAAGCTAAATCATTTTCTATATAGGATGGGAAATCGAGTTGAAAAATTATCTGTCACAGTTGATAATGCAAATCTATAATTAACATAGGAATCATGTGTGGCCTTGATTGGTTAGTTGCTTAGGTTGCTACTGATTCATCCCAAGTTTAATTACTGCCACTTAAATGCAAATAAAATTTATGACAAGAGTCTCAAGTAAAATCTTAAGAGTTTATTTGAATGGCATATAAGTGTGGATCGCATGAATTTATGTATGTTTTACACTGTTTATAGTGTTTTAGTGCAGAGACGCTCAGTTCAGGGACTTATTAGCTGAATCCAATTGAGTACAAAATGAAACGTCATATTCAAATTTTCCTGAAAATGCAGGAAATTGTCGCACCCTTGAAAATGCCATAGAAGTTTGGATTTCATAATAACCTACGCTTACTCTTCTCCTCTTTTGACTTGATTTCATATTGATTTCGTATGCTAGCTGTGTATATGTATGTGATTGCTGACTTAAGGAGAAGAAGAATACACAGTTGTCTCCCTTTTCTAAAAACCTTCCCTTTTATCTTTTGGTGCCTTGCAGTTTATCAAGATTTACGTAACCACCATATAAATAATAATAATGATTCCAGCACCAATATCTTCTGGTAGAACACTTCATCCTTGGTTTCATATGATAAACCCTAATCATGCGGCATTTGATCCTTTTTGGGAAGGCGATTATATGTATGGCTGTATACAGAACTTACAGGACACCATCGCCCTCTTGGAAGCCGTGTAAGCCATTTCCTACCTCTCATGGAATTCAATATAGTGAATAAATCCTTCTTTTTTTTTTTTGAATTTCTTGGTTTTGTCTTGAAAGTATCATAAGGATTTGTGCTTTACGGGGAGGTTTACAAATGGTTGTTATACTTTGAGAGCTTAACCTTTTATGTTGACAGACATGAAGAACTGGAGATGCTATCATTTATTCAAGCAAAGGGACTGATAAAACAATATTTAAATAGAACTGGTCCACCTTCTTTGTTACAAAATGGCTGCAATTCATCTCATTCTTTTGCCTCTGCTGCTTCCGATGGCTCAGAAATTTCAAGAAATTATGAGATTTTGTTGCATAAGTTTTTGGGATTGATAGAGAGGAAAGGGGTTGACTTGGATACCCAAGTGGGCCTCTCGTTAGAATCAGCCAACTCTTTGTTTTTGAATTTGGAGACCCAACTTGTTCGATTCAGCGCCATCACAGAAGAAACTAGTTCATGGGAGCAAAGGTCAGCTGCAATTAAACTGGCAAATAAGATACAGAAATCCAAGCGTAATAGAAGGTGGAGGAAAAATAAAAGGAAACATGTCGCTGAGATGCGTCTCAAGGTTGGTTATGAGCAAATGGTCTCTATTCTGATCTAATTAAATTGGAAATCCATAGGTTAAATTATGCTTTAGAGTTCTCTCGTCGTGTATTGAATATTTCTGTAGTTGTTGGGGGGTCTGAATTTCATGATTATGAATAATATCTTTGATTTTATTTTTGAGAAATAGAAGAATATGCTGGTATTGGGGTTTTGAATTTCAGTTAACTTCTTGTTTAATTTTTTTTTTTTTATCAACAAAAATATATAGGTCATTTGGTGTATGTGACTTGAAATATTGTCTTGCAGGAACGGGCAAGGTATGATGAAGCGGATCAGGCTGCTGATGAATGGAGGGCTAGGGAGATCGCAAAGGATATTGCAAGACGTAAGGTAGAATTATAACTTAGGATATCTGAGGTAATGTGGTTTATGAACAGTTCTTTCGACTTATAAAACACGTTTGACATCTACATAGAGATAATCTTCAAGAGGAATAGTGGAAGTGCTCATAATCAAATGTCTTTTTGTTCTTTCCTAGTTTTAATGATATGATATATGCTAGGGCTTCGAGAAGGCTTTCACGAGAATGGCATAGGCATTTTTAAGCATTAGATGATGTTGCTTGGTATTGTTTACAGTAGTTTCACATCAATAAGTGGGTTCTGTCATTGGCATTATCTTATGTTTTCTTTATGTCTGATCCAGAAATTAGCAATGTTGCATTTTCTGTTTGGAGGGCACTGAAAGTTTTGGCATTTTGTACAGATGGAAAATATGAAGGCTATTGCAAAGGTTAAAGCAAATGAGGAGCGGAAAAAACTTGAATCTGAGGTAAGTCCGAGACTATCATATGTTTATCTAGTTGTAGTAGCATCAGAACATAGAAAATACAAAATAGGTATTTGCTTTCAAATTACAATATGATGGTATGCCGGTTTTGGTGCTCTCTACAAGTATTATGTTAGCGACTATGATGTCATTTTCCCCTGGTATACTGCAATCCGTTAACCTAAGTTGTCTCATCCACAATTTCTTGAGTGATACTTCTCTATAGCAAGTGATATTAGTAAACATCTTTTCGGCAACTTCTCAAGTATATATAATATTCTGTAGATTGGTACTTCTGTATACTTATCCTGTTATTATTATTCACATTCTGAACCTCTCATCTCAAAAATCCATAGTCTAGAGTGAGTTATCCTAAAACTACTTTTGATTTGAGCTTGCGTCGTATTGATTCTTTAAGAGATGAAGTTAAGCAAGGTTGGAATGTTTTATGCTCTTCCTATCATATAGGTTGTTTAGTGTCGAAGGAAACATAGCAAGTGGTCGCGGAAACTTAACCTTCTGCAGTTTAAATACTGCTAATTAGTGTTTGAAAAATCGCCGATCTGGATCGAAATCGCTCGATCTGGATCAGATATTGTCCAAAGCGATCTGGATCCAATCATTTATCGGGATCTCAAAGAACCAGGTTTTTTACACTATTTTAATGTAAAATTTATTTTTTTAATATAAATTTATTACACGTAACCACCACTACCTGCAGCAACCACCGTTTACATTATTTTAATTTATATTTCTTCCACTTACCTGCAGCCACCATAAGTACCTACCAACCACCATAATGAGCACATAGCTTTGCATAAGGGGCTAAGAGATAGAGTTTTATATGGCTATTTCAGCCTTTAATTGTTGGATGTGGGACTATTCATGCTTGCTCTGCAAGTACGTAAAGGGCTAAGAGATAGGGTATAAAGGCTTAGTTGGACAAAGGCAATACAAAGGAAAAGCTACAAAATAGCTCTCTTTCTCTAGCTAGTTCTTCTACTTCATGCCATTTTTTTTTTTTTTTGTCACAACAATAAGCATGATTGGTCTGTGGCAAACAAGCCACTTTTTTATTTTTTTAATTTTTATTATTTTTATATTTTTCTATTTTTTAGGGTAAATTTTTTTTGTTTTAATATCATAACATTAAAATTTATAGGGGTTTTATTTTTTTAATCCTACGAAATGGAATTACTTGACCAAAAAAAAAAGAAATGGAATCGTTTTCTAATAAGTTTGAAATCATGTTTATTATAATATTATAATTAATAATTATATAGACATCCAAATAGGAAAACAATGTCTCAATATTCATCTATTTTTACAAAGTAATGAGAATACATAATGCATCATGTCTAATTTCTTTTAGAAACTAAAAGAACACTATTTTTAAATATTCATAATGATTTTTTAAAAATATTTTGAGACAAAATTTTCTGATTTGGCTGATTCTCCTAATTTATTGTTAATTTTTTAGATTTTTGAATTAGATGATATTATAAGACAAATTTCAAATTTATTTTTATTTGTATAGTAAAATAATGATAAAATAATAAAATACATATCAATAATTCTAATTTCAATGTATAATATTGTCTTTAGTTAGATTTTAATAAATATTTGATGAGAATCTTCATACAGGAAATGAACATCTCAATATTCGCATATTGATGAAAAAAATGAAAATTAATAATGTAGTACCTTCATTTCTTATTGGATTATTAGAAAACAACATTTATAATGAATTTTAATAAATTTTTTGGATTTTTTTTAAGGCTTAATCCGACCAATTCCCGATCCGGATCACCGATTCAGCGATCTGGATGGGTTTTTGAGGTGCCCGATCCGGGCACCGATCTGTTTTTTAAACCACTGCTGCTAATGGAACATCAAAGCAACAGTGGAGCTTTGACCCGACATATGTACTAACATTTTCTCATCTTCCATGTCAGAAATGCATAGTCAATAGAGTGTAATGCTATTGAAGTGCTGAAGTGAATCCCAAGCATATGGTTGCAAGCTTCTCGGTTTACATAATTTTGCAGTAATGGGAAGATATGGAATTACCAAAACTGAATGATGCAATGAAAATCAGAGAAAGGAAGGATTTGAATGCATACCAAGTTGCCAACTCTTTCCTTTCTCATCTATTTCTATTTCCTGATATTGTTATGGAGAGTTACCTCCTTTGAGCATATGAATTTACAATCTGCCAAATTGTTTTGATATATGTACTTGCATATTATGTAAAGATAGATCGGGTGAGGTGGGTCATAATTGCTTTCCAAATGAAGCGCCTTGCTTGTAGTTGACATGGAATTTGCTGAAATTGACTTTGATCTTGGATTGAGTATTCTATGGAAGTATTCTTCACTGCACTTGATAGAGAGCACTTCACCAACCTGACTGAACCAAGTGACTTGTTAAGTCCTTGAGCAACCTTGTTTTTTCTGTTTGCTTGATGCATTTTGAGTTTTGTAGGGTGGTCATTTGTCCACCCGCCCTGCACCCCCCCATCCCTCCTTCGTTTACATTTCTAAAAATGTTTTTGGAATTTCGATATATAATGTATTAATGTAAATTACAATATATAGCGGGCTATCTATTCACCACAAGCCATGTCTAAATTTCATCATCCCCTTGAGCAAGGCTACAATATTTATCTCAGATTGTATTATATTATATACATAATGTTACAAGTTCATCATCCGTTGGGCAAGAATGTGATACATGTTCTGGGATAACAAATCAGATTCGTGAAAAGCATTATATTATATATTGCGAAGATGTTGGCAATTGATTGTTCTGGTTGTGTGAGAGCCTTACTGTGGCACCCTCCTGTCATGTTGGATATGTTTGCTGGGTGAAGTTTGGCATGTTTGATGAAGTTTAGATGTGTGACCGAGTGTGTGCTATTGGGAAGTAGGTATATTTTGAATCTTCAATTTAATAGAAATCATGGGGACATGTGTGGTAGTCTAATTTTTATCGAGTTTGTGCTTGTTTCTTCATTTGTTTCATCTACGTGCACTCTATTGGCTGGCTACATATGCTATTATAGGCCCTTTTCATGTATGAGTTCATTTCCACCATGCGTGAGGGATGTGAGTCGCTATGGACACCTGGATAATCTTTTTGAAATGACATGCAGAATCAGTGCATTTATAATTTCTGGTTAGGATGGTTGTGGAGCTGAAACTTGTTGGCACATGGTCAGTTAGTTGCATATGCCGCTTTCTTTACTGTGGGTCACTTTCAAATCTTGTTTAACTAACTAATGAATAATATGGTCAGGTTTTGTGATTTAGTTTTATGAAAAACTTGCAAAGGAAGTTTTAGTTAATACAAAAATCATGGCTGAAATGATTGAACACCGTAATTTTGTCAACTTGATCCATGCGATAGCATTGCTGAACCTCCCTTTCCAATGGAACTCTCTCACTCTCTCTCTCTCGTGCATGCACACGCACGAGTGCACAGGGGCAAGATAAAACTGTTTAAAACATGAGAACTTGTTGCAGTTTCTAAGAGCTTTGGAATTGAAGAAAGACTATATAATTTATCCTTCCAATTATTGGAAAGCGTTGGTATTTCATGACACATCTCTGTGAGCATAGTGTATGGGAAATGGATATTTTATGTGCATCTCATTTTGGGTACTTGAACCTTGCTTTAATCATCTGTAATTATAATTGTATTGGAATTTTGAGTAAGTGCCCTGCTAAAAAGGACCAAGCGGCTATGAAAGTGGGCAAAAACTTGTCATCTGTTGTCATTGGATACACACTGACGATTGATATTGGGTTTGAGTACCCTATTCGATACTTTTATAAAGAATGCCATATTTTTCCTACTGTATAACCTTAACCACTTGTGGCCAGTGATCTTGTTTGAGCAATATAATTCTATTTTGTTCTAGTTTTCCTGACAGGCTTTACTTCAATTACAGCTTGAACTTGTTTTGATTGTTGAAAAGCTGCAAGAGCTTCGCTCCATCAGGATCCAAAAGTTGCAGAAGCAAGGCAAGACTCTTTACAGTTTTCAAATTGCTTGATGTGCTTCAGTTTGGGTAGCATATGGTTTTCTTATCTTCATCTTTATGCAAATTACTATATTGTTAATCCATGGATTTCTTGGATGCATCTACTAAGTGATGAGACCCTATAATGATATATGCTTCCTTACATCTTTTGATGTCGCATATAATTTATCTGTAATAAATGTCTTGCACGGGAAAAAATATTTTTAATTGCATATTCCTCTTGGTAAGTCCTTATCTCAGACCTCTTTCGCCGCATTATCCGTGATTGATTGGAAAATGGAAATTGTGGATAGAAAATTGATGATAAGTGCATGCAATTTCCAGAGAAGACAAACTTATCTTTATACACTGTTGAATGAAAAAACCTACTAACCACTATTGTTTCAAACAAAGATAAATTGCCATGCTTGTTCAATGTTTTAGGGATGCTTTCGCCATCTAATCTTCGGATCCTGACATCCTGAAGAGTATTCATGCAGGACATTTTCTTCCTGAAGAGGATGATAAGTTCCTTGAGAGAGTCCGAGTTGCTGTCGAGGAAGAAGAGCGGCAAGCAGCAGCTGCGGCTGACACTTGTGCTGCTAAGGATGCCATTGCAATTGCTGAGGAATCTCGACAAGCAGTCCTAACTGGTGGTTCTGATGTCAACAAACACTTGGATATGGATAGTTACAAAACTGGAGAGAGAGCAAGCAGCGGCCAATTCACAAACAAGGAATGTGGGAAAAGCTTGAGCGATAGAACTCCCTCTAATGGATCTGAGCAAAGGCTAGAGGGGAAGACATTTGGTGGAGGCTATGACTCTGTGACCAATTTGCCAATAGAGTTCTACCATTACTACCATGGAAGCAATACCGACATTGGCACTCTAATTGAGGTAATTTTGTTGCTCACATATGCAAATGTTGGATGCTGATGTTTTTGGGGTTCCAAATGTTTTTTAACCCTCAAACTTGTCATGGGGCTCATTTTGCTTTTTATTTAATTTTTTGGGTTTTTTTTTTCTTTATTTTTTTTATTTTTTTGGGCTGGGGGTGAGCGTTTTGCATTTGCACTAAATATTTTGACTTTGAGTAATTAAAACTAGATTGGAGGTTCCATTTTTACTTTAAGAAGTGGAGAATGGCTTCTTTCTATCTTAAATCTTTTGGTTATAGATTCCACAAAGAGTATACAAGTATGTTTGTTGATTTTGTGCCTTTTTTTCTTGAGCTTTTTATGATCTAATTTGCATGTATCTTTTTTATTTATTACTGGCCTTTGCTGAACACATTTTAGGTTCTCACTTTAGCTATTCACAGTTTTGTCATAAAGTGATATTTGTATTAGTTCCATACATTTTTTCAGTATTTTAGGGCAATTTATCTTGAGATTTGTTTTATTTATTTTTTATTTTTATTTATATGTTAGTGATTAAGGATGGGGCCTGGATTTTCAAGTTTTCTTGCTAACTTCATGCAGGTTCGAAGAACTTGGGATGCTTACATTCGACCTGGTGGCAGGTACGTGTCGTTATATCAGTTGCAACTGTGTATAAGCTTTACATAGCCATCAGCAAGCAGTTTTTGGCTTGCATATTACTTCAAAAATGAATTTTTTAAATGCAAGTTACCTATGATATTTGATGTCAAATGGTCCCCTGATTTCTCAGAAATTAAGGTTAATACAGACATAAATTTCTTACAAAATGTTAAAATATATAGGGAACGGCAAATATTGTCCCAACTTTTCAAACACTGGATTTAATATCCTTTTTTCCAGCTTTTGTTTTGATTTCCCTTTCCTTACATTTTTTGACTAACTCTACGGTTAACTGTTTCTTCCCTATTTCGTGGAACAAAATCACTTAAACATTAGAGAATCATCCTATTTTGTCAACCAAGTGTTTTTTCTTCTTTCTTTGTTTGGGCGTTAAATCAAATGGTGTTTTGATTTTTGAGAACTGGACCATTGTAAGGTAGGTAAAATTATTTTCAAGTTTTCCTCTTTAAGTAATCTGGTTGCAGCATGTAGTAATCTGGTTGCCAACATGCTGCACTTCTTCTTCCAAGAAAAAATTGCTTCTTTGATTTTAAGAAGGGGCCATATTTTCCCTTTTTGCGACGTGCCTCTTTTCCTTCAATTTTTCATACTAAATGCTCTCAAACTTAGTCTCATTGAGATGGTGATTACCTTTTTTTTTTTTGGATTATCAAAAAAAGAAGAAATATTGTCTTTTTTTGGTTGGTAGCTTGCTAAATTTAGCATCTCTCTTAATGCGGCTGCAGTCGGATACCAGGGCATTGGGTTGAGCCCCCACTGCCTGCGGATGACATATGGGCTTCTTACCTGGTGGACACAGACAATGTAAAGCAATGAGTTGTTATTTAATGGATTTGCAGGTGATAATGTTTATGGGGCATTTTAATTTCAAATTAATTGAGGTGTTATCCCAATCTAAGCTTGCCTTGCTGCTACAAGTTCTTCTTAACCTCTGTCTTTTTTCTTTTTTTTTTTAAAGAAATGGTTGTCTTTTATGTAGAGTGTTTTCTCCTAAGGGGTACCCTTAAGAATTCCAAAACTATAACAAAATTATTTAAATATTGCTAGAGTTCCCAACAACTTCGTAACCGCATGGATGCTTTGGCATATGCATCTGCAACTTTATCATTTGGCTGTAATGAGGGTCTCAAATTTGTAACTTCTTGCAACTCTTCTGAAACCATCTTGTCTCAGTTTGTGATAAGGAAGATCACCAGGAATATTGTATAAATGGTATATTATTTGGGAGGCCTTTTTATGTGCCTCCACTCATATATAAAATTCATGTGACAGCAATTCTCAGCCATTCAATCAGAAGGACAAGCAGGATAATTTCAGTTATAATGTCACATTATATTGGCATATGATTGGTTGATCTTGATCAAATGACTCATGGTATTGATTTTTAATTTTTTTTTATAAATTATTTTGAGATAAAATTTGAGGTATTCCCCTTCTCGTCCAGGAGCTCTTAGTGTATAAAAGAAAATGATAATAAAAAATAACCCTAATGCCTTTGTAACTTTTAGGGTATTTTGACCATTTTTTATTTTATCAAAAATAATCTTTATTTTTTGTTTAGTGTGCCCTTTTAAAGGATGGGCATGAGACCAAATTTCGTGTTAAGTTGTTGGGTAGAAAAATAAATAATAATAAAAACACTTTAGCCCCGACATAAACTTATCGGAGCTGTCCATTCAAATTGAGTCGTTGAAAATAAGAGTAACGTATATTTTAGGGAATATTTTGTACAGAATCCTATTTCTCTATCTTATTTATTGGTAGATATTCTTTCAAATTTTTTCTAACGGCATAAAAAAATCCCTAAGGATTTTATCGTACTCTCTCATCTTTTATTTCTTTCATTTATTCACTTTTGACCATAAAAGTTAGTTGCAACAAATTTTTTTATACTATTTCAACCCAATATGAGAAAGAGATAGGAAGCTCTCAATGTGGCATTGAGGGGCTGACGAAGCAAAAAATATAATAAAAAAATATTTTTGAAATGTTTTTGGGTTAAAAGATATAGTGGGTGGGAGACATAATGGGGTGGGTTAAAAAAGTTTTTGAAAAGTTTTTGGAATGTTTTTGGATTGAAATAGTATAAAAATGTTTGTTGGGGCTAATTTTTATGATCAAAAGTGAATAAATGAGATAGATAAGAAATGAGGGGGGACGGTGAAATCTTTAGGAATTTTTTCATACAGCTTGAAAGAAAAATGACATGAGAGTCTACCACGAAATAAGATGGAAAATTAAGGTTTTGTACGAAATGTTCTCCATATCTTATATATGGGAGGTGCCATTTAAAAAGGTATTCCATATTGTTTTAAGGGAAAAGTTTATATAAGGTTGCAACCTTAAAATATAGAATCACATATCTACCTCAAAAATCTATCAAAAATGTTGTTTTAATGTTAAAAAAACCCTCTAATCAATCATCTCGACATTGAGATGTATGAATATGAAAAAAAAAAAAGTTTTTGAGTCCCGAAAATAGCGCATCTTGTAACACATTATCTAAACTGTCACTTTCAAGATTTTCATATATTTATAGATCTACTTGATTTTAACTATTTTTGGAATTTAAAATTTTCTAATTACGTATGAAAATAGATTTTAAGATAATATTAAGAATTTTTTATAACAAAATTATATAATAAATTTTTAAGATGCGCCTTAATTGGATTGTTTAAGGTTGCATCCTTATAGAAACCGCACCCTTGTTTTAATGCTTTACGTTTATGTTGCCAAACTAAAAGCAATGCTGGGATTATGCACAAATTAAAACAATAACAAGAATTGCATAGTTTAAACATAAAAAAGGGATAAAAATCCTGAGCTAATTTACCGATCTTGAATGAGAGTATGTGTATTTTGTCAAATTGCTCTTTTTAAATAAGTTATTTTGCATTTGTTCATGTCCTAGATATGGCCCCTCGTTTCGGGAACAAGCTGAAAAGACAAAAGAAAAAAAGAAAAGAAGGGCAAATAATATTGATATTCTCCCCAACATCCTTCATTTCAATTTTTTCTATAATTTTTTTAAGGGTTTTGTAGGTTGTATCACTTGTGGTGTAAACCCTTAAAATGCTCAATATTTTTGAACATTTAGATACCCTTATCGTATAGTATAATAACTTTTTGTTTCGGGGTATTTTAAGCAATTAGTCAATGGTGAACTATAAATTCTTCATAGAAACAAAATCATTTATTAATAATAGCGGACAATGACATCACCGATATGGTATGTGACATCACCACAAAATGCATTAATTGTTTTTAACTACTAATAAAATACCACTACTTTTTATAAAAATATCCATTCTATCTACGATTCTAAATGACAAAAAATACCCCTACTTGAAAAAATTTGTATTACAATTCAACGGTATTTTAGTGTCAAAAGTTGAACACTTTAAAGGTATACACCACTAAGTGGTGTAGCCTAATAAAACCTTTTTGTTAATACTTGTCTACATATATCCAAAGTGCCTCTACTTCGGATTCTGAAGTTTTTTTGTTTTAGCATTGACTCTGAAGTTGAGTTTGGGAGAGTTTAAAGTTGAGTATTCCAATAACTTGGCATCATGAGGGTGTCAATTTCTAACTTTCATTTGAAACTTCATCTTCGGATCTTGTTATGAGAGGTTTTTGTCATTAACATAATTTTTTGAGAAAATATCTCCATATATTTTATTTTTAAGTTTCATTTCACGATAGACTTGAGGTTTTAGAAGATATCTCGAGGCATAAAAATTGTAGATTTTATTTCTAATCCCCTGAACTACTTTAATCATGTTTTTTTTGGGTCGAACAAATCTAAAAAGACATGTCTTTTCTAAAAGCCATCCTCCCAAGTTCTCTCTTTTTCTCTCCTCACATCCCTTCTCTTTCTCTCCCAGTCTTTCTTATCTCTAACCTTTCACTCTCTCTCCTCCCGCTTTCTCTCTCTTCATATTTTCCATCTCTCATATCACTCTCTCTCTCCTCCCAACTATATAAAAAGTATCACACTCTCTCTCCTCCTTACTCTTTGTCTCCACATTTTCCATCTCTCCACTCACTCTCTCTCCTCCCAAAAACATAATAAGTATCACTCTTTCTATCTACATTTTACATCTCTCCTCATACTCTCTCCTCCCAAATACACAATATCATTCTTTCTCTCCACATTTCTCAACGCTCCTCTCACTCTCTCTTCTCCCAAATATACAGTAAGTATACACAGAGAAAGAGAGACGTTTCCCATATATCCCTTCACTCCCTTTCCTCCCAAATACATAATAAGCATCACTATTTCTCTCTACATTTCCCATCTCTCTTCATACTCTCTCCTCCCAAATGTACAGTAAGTATCACTCTTTCTCTCTACATTTCTCAATTCTCATCTCACTCTCTCTCCTCCCAAATACACAAAAAGTATACAGAGAGAAAAAGAGATGTTTCCCATATCTCCCTTCACTCCCTCTCCCGAATACATAATAAGTATATGATCTCTCCCCTCTCTCTCTCATCCCAAATACACATTAAGTATATAGAAATAAACTCACTCTCTCTCCTCCAAAATACACAATAAGTATATGATCTCTCCCCTCGCTCTCTCTCATCCCAAATATATACTAAGTATACGGAAAGAAAGATAAATGTTTGGATAAACACAAAAAAATACACAATAAGTATATGGAGAGAGGAAAATATACAATAAGTATACAGAGAGAAAGATAAATGTTGCGATAAATACATGGAGAGAGATAGGTGTTTGGTGGTGAGAGGCTACTGGGAGAAGAGAGAGATGTTTGTATGAATGGAGAGAGAGGTATTTGGATAAATAGGGAAGAAAGGGAGAGAGGTATTTGGATAAACACAAAAGAAAATAGATGTTTGGTAGTGAGAGATTATTCAAAGGAGAGAGAGAGGTATTTGAATCAACACGAGATGAGAGAGAGAATGAAACACATAGCAAGATAGAGAAAAAAGAAGTTTGGAGTATATAAATGGAGAGAGAAGGGATTGGATTTAAAAACAACATGTCTTTATCACATTTGTTTTGGTTAAAAAATAGGTTTAAAATAGCAAGGGGTTGAAAGATATTGTTTGAAACCTTAGGTTTATTAATAAATGAAATCTAAAAATAAGAGATATGGAGATATTTCCCTAATTTTTTCTCAAGATCCAAAGTTGTCCAAAATCTTAAACACAACTTCAAGATTCAAGGTCTACGAGCAATTTGAGAACAAAATGGGTGAAGAATATAATGACAACGAAAAGTTTATATAAGGTTGCAACCTTAAAATGTAGAACTACGGATGCACCTAAAAAATCCATCGAAAAATGTTGTTTCAGTATTGAAAAATCTTCTGATTGATCATCTCGACGTCGAGATGTATGACTACGAAACATAAAAGGATTTTGAGTATCATAAATAGTGCATCTTAGAACATACTATCTACACCGTCCATTTTCAATATTTCATATGTTTGTAGATCTACTTGATTTTGACCATTTTTGAAATTTAAAATTTATAATTAGATATAAAAATAGATTTTGAGATCATTCTAAGACATTTTACATCAACATTATATATTATGAAAAAATTTGAAGGTGCACCTTAGTTGGATTATTTAAGATTGCAACTTTATGGAAACCACACCCTAATAACAAACTTTTAAAATAATAATTTATATTTTAAATTACTCGATAAAAATTTGATGGGTCAATAGTCCACCTATATTGCTATACATTTTAAGTGCCCTAACTATAATAAGGTTTACTCTTTTATAAATATCGGTGATTTGGGGGATATGCGACAAAATGAAATGCGCACGGGATGGTGTCAGTGATCAGTACAGAATCAGAAAAGCCACGCCACCGTCATTTAACTTGCACTTGCAATGGGTACTTCGGTCTTTTTACACCATTTTGACTTGGGTGTGGTTTGCTTAGAGCCTAGGCTCTACACAATCAAATTAGAGCCTACTTTCCAATAATATTGAGAAATATGGTTTCAATATTAAAAATATTTGTGATAGCCTTACAATAGATTTTCATATTTATTTATAAATTTTAAAGATTAAAAAATAGTGTAGATCGACATATTTATGAAAACTTGAAAATTTTGAAAATTGACGGTTAAAAAACAAATCACAAAATACACTATTTTCAAAACTTGAAATCCATTTTTTTCTCATCTCCATGCATCTTGATATCGAGATGATCAATTTAAAGATATTTCGGCATCAAAACAACCTCTTCTAGTGTAATTTTTGAGATAGGCTCAAATTTGTTTCGTTTAGAACCCCGCTCTATATAAACTTTTCCCTTTAGATATTTTTGTTTGACCGAATCATCCTAGCTTTCCCTGCAGCACCTAAATCATTAGCAGCAAAGACCCAAAAAAAAACTTTTTGTACCAATTCCCAAATTACGCGTACGACTTGCCGAAAAATCGGGTTTGGTGCGGCCGCGGATCTATTGTACCTGGTGATGCGGCATCATAGAATCCCGCCAAAAGTTTGGGTTTGGCGCCATATATTCTTATATCGAATTTTTCTACCCTGCAAAAATGTAACTTGGAACCTGATGCGAAGTAAAGGTGAAGGATTTAAATGTATGGTCCAAAAAATGTATTACGATATAAGTTTATTTTAAGAGTTAAGAATCTTCTTTTTGTTTGTCATGTTAGAAATGAAAATCATTTTTATGATTGTCAAATATGAGATGATTTATTTTGTAGGTTTTTCAAAGCTAAAATTGCATTTTCTGACAAAACTTGAAATATGATTTCGTAGAGTGAAAATAATTCAAAATACCAGACGAATACTTTGTTGCAGGCGAACCTTTAGCGCAGTCCAAATATACCAACAAAAAAAAAAAAAAAATTAAAGTATGCCCCATTTAAGTCCACAAGAAGGTGCTTCATTAGAGGTTTCATGTTATTATTTGTTTTGTAATTTACTAATATTGGGCTTATTTTATTTTTATTTTGATTTTTTTTTATCATAGATTCTTTCATTGTTTATAACATATGGAATTATCATAAATTAATAGTATTATCACTATTTAATTTGTATAATAGAGTATTTATAGAATAAGATAATAATTAAAAATGTTATATCAATTGTGTGTGTGTGTATATATATATATTTACACACTTACTGGGGAATGATTCCATGCAACGGTTATATAGTAGTATAATGCAACCATCTTTAAAAACCATATTAGAGACATTTGTTTGACACAAATTTTTAAATGTACATTCTTTTCATTATGAAGAACAATCACAAAAATTTTTGTTTTGAAAAAATGCTCTAGAAAGTTTTCATTCTAGCCCAATTAATTTAAGCCATCCATTTTATTGAGATCGTTAGATATAGGTCTCAGAAGGATTTTTTTATTCCCGAAATTTTTATATAGCATTATCATCATTAGATTAATAATGCCAAACATGAAAAATGTGATTTTGAATTCGTTAAGGCCTAGATCTTGAAGTTCTCCAAATGGATGGTCGAGATTCATCGTTGGATGGGTACTAATAGGATTGACTATAAGGATGAATAGAATGTGTGTGCAAAATTTTGGGTCATATAAATGCTAAAAATATTATTTTTTAGAGGTGTGGTTGCATTATACTACTATACAACCGTTGCATTAGATCATTTCCCATACTTGATAGTTAACCAAATTTTACTTAATTTTGTTATTGTATTATAATATAAAAATATGAAGATATCATCATCCGAGCTTTACTCCGCTATTTGGGATGGGCAAAAAATATGTGGACAAAATATAGAAGATAAATATTGGCTGGTATATAAATATGAAATTAAAACATCAAAAAATAAAGATAAAAGTTTATATAAAGCTGAAACCTTAAAAATATCATTAAAGTGCATCTCAAAAATCTATTTTGATGTTGTAAAATGCCTCAAATAAATCATCTCGACACAAAAAAGTATTAATATATATAAAAAGAGATTTTGAGTATCAAAATAATACATTTGCAACGCATTATGCGTATCTTCAATTTGAAGATTTTTATATTTTTATAGATCTACGTGATTTGAACCTTTTGTTAAAGTTTCCATTTCTATAATTAGATATAGATTTTCCCTCGAAAATTTTGACAACAAAATTATATCTAAAGATAGTGGGTGTGGTTTCTATAAGCTCGCAACCTTAAACAATCCAAGTAAGGTTGCAAATATAAAATCTAGAGGTGTACCTTATTTATTTTGATAGTTCAAGGATGCACCCTCGTCTAAACCGCATCTAAAAATAAAAATAAAAATAAAAATAAAAGTAAAAGATAAAAGATAAAAGATAAAAGATAAAAGATAAAAGAGGATCTATTGAAACATAAAATAGATTCTAGCACAAACAAGGTATAATTACAAATAGGAAATATAAATTGAAAAATTTCCACAAAAATTGAGAAATTTTAATGTTTCTCCAAACTTCCGTGGCATTTTCCTGATTTTCCAAATTTTTGCTTGCAGGCCCCTTTTCTCTCTCTGGTTTTTCCCATTCTATTATCCTTCAATTCCTAGAGAGAGATGGAGTCTGGTTGTAAATCTGGAGAGAGAAAAGAGAGCGGGCGGAAATGTAGAAGAGAGAGAGGGAGCTCGTTGGTAATTCTATGAGAGAGAAACCCTAGGACTCTATGGCTCTGTAGAATTGAGAGGAGCTCCAATGGCTGTTAGAGTTATGGCTAAAAAGGAGCTTCTGGTTTGTTGGAGACGATTAGTGGAATTTGAAGACCAAGCAGCAGATGATTCTAGTAAAATTAAGCGTTTTCGCAAGACTAAGGAAGAATGGTAACCCTAATCTCCTGTTTTTGTTTTTCTTAATAAAAAATACGTTTTTTTTTTTCGTTCTCTTGCAGTTTTTTTACTAGCTGGAGTGATATTTTGTATCATTGGTGCAATTTGTAATGATAGAGGTGACGAATTTGAATATTGCTTCTTGGGTGGGTGATTAGCTTTTATAGTTGGAAATTGTTTTTATTTGATTGGTATTCACATGCACATGATTTATATAATGGGATGCGTTTGAACCTAATGTAGTTAAAACCGGGTTAGAATAGAATGTTGTTTTGTTGGTTTGAATGATTATTATTTTTTTAAACTTTCATTTCACAGCAGAGCCCTTTTCAATTGTATCTTTTAAATTAATCAAATTGTTTACTTTCCGGTTAATCTTAGCAAGATTGATATAAGATTGACAGTGTGATGTATACTGTTTTGTGGTTGTTTGTTTCAAAGGTGGGTGATTAACTCTTAGAAAATAGAAAACAAGAAGGTTGCCTAGTTAACTACCCTTTTTATTTTTTATGAAATTGAACTTTGCTTCTTGCAATCCTTGTATAGCAACCAATGTTACGACCCTTTTTCTTTTTTATGAAATTAAACTTTGCTTCTTGCAATCCTTCTATAGCAACCAATGTTCAGAAACATGGCTCGGACTTGGGACTTGGCAGGGTACCAAGTCTGAGTCGTGCATGCTGATTCGGCCAAGTCTGAACAAATTATAATACTAAAATGTAGGAACCCAGCTGAATATGGCTGGTTTCTACTCAATTCAGCTTGAGTCCGTGTAAGTTGGGTGATCCTAATGGACTCACCTGAGTTTCAGAACACTGATAGCAAGTCCGAGCCTCGACAGGGTACCAGTTGTGCATGCTGATTTGGCTGAGTCTTTCAGGGATTCGGCCGAGTCTGAACAAATTATAATACTAAAATGTAGGAACCCAGCTGAGTTTGGCTGGTTTCTACTCAACTCGGCTTGAGTCTGTGTAAGTCGGGTGATCCTAATGGACTCGCCTGAGTTTCAGAACACTGATAGCAAACATCTGATTCTTTGGATTCGTTGTCTGCTTGAGTTGATTGAAATTTGTAAATTCTTTATGTGTATTTCCCAATCTTCTTCTTAATCATCTTAAATGTTGCCCATGTGAATTGGAAAGAATTCTGTTGGTTTTGGTCATATATCACTAACTTTATTTATTATCCTTTTTCATTGTTTCTGTTTTATCTTGTTGGAGCCATGATGCGATAAATATGTTTCAGCATAATACTTTGGGCGTTAAAATTGTTCTATGCAGGTTCTCAGATGCTTTCAACTATTTGATTCAATTGTCCGTGGAAAACCATATATGGTGTGGCAATCGGGAACTAATGGGCCCTCTTCTTGAGACCTTCCATGACTATTCAAAGGATGAGAACGATAATTCACCATTAAAAGATCTCTACCAGAGGATCTCTTTGGAACTAAGGAGATGTGCCCAGTGCATTACTCAGCACCATGAAGCTCAAGAAATGTATAGAAAGGATTTCGATCTAGATACTGTGCAGCCTCTTCTTAATATTTTACAAACCCTTGATGAAGAAAGGGTGACTGAGCACCTTAAGGAGATCAACTCAAAAGTTACTAGGAGAGAATATGATCCTGAGAAAGACCATGCTGAAGTTGCATGTGTTTTGTTTGAAGTATGCTTGGTCAAACTGAAACTTTTTTTTTTCATTTTTGAACTGCTATTTCAAACTGAAAGTATCTATTGCATTTGTTGCATGTTAAAATAATATGATGTACGGCTCTGCTATCTATGATGAAAATATTCATTTAGATATGCTAAAGCTAATTGCGTTTGTGTTTGCAAGATGTAATTTTTATTCCTAGGAATGACTAGCAACTATTCCACTAAATTTTGTCTTGTTCTGTAGAACTTGATGAAGAAAATGATCACCGCTAATAGTAATGGTACCATTTCAATTGCCTTGTTACATGATTACCAGTGGAAAATTCTAGAATCATTGCGGATTTGAACTATTGATAATGTTGTTATTGTTTTTTAACATTTTTTTTATCCAAAACTATCGTGAAGGACTTTGCGGTTTTCGGCATTGATATTCAATTCATTTATTTGATTATCATTGCTCTGCATTTGTATGGGTACACTGCATAGATACCTAGGATCTATTTTTCCCATTTCTGAAATATCTGAGTACCAGTACTGGGAATTGCTGCGAAACTTCTCGAAAATTGTTTCGAAAACTTCCCTGAAACACATTCCTAGCAGCCTCCAAACCACATTTAAGTACTCTAGAAACTGTTTGTAGGGCCTCTAGATGCAACCAACCCCCACCCCCCCTTTTCTTCTTTTTCTCCCTTTCTTGTTCTTTTCTAGTTCTCTTTTGCCCAACGTATTTTGTTTTGGAGCAGACAACTTTCAGGTGTTGTCTGTCTTACATTTTCGTCATAGGCTTATTTATATTTTGTTCTATGAGAAAATATTGGTTATTCTGTTTCCTTAGATTGTATAGATGATTCACAAGTTACAGATGATCCAATATTATTGAATATTTGTGCTACTTACGAACCCGATATCTTGTTGGATTGTATTGCTTTCCTTCCAGGTGTTGATGTTTCCTACTTTGCTCGATGACCATTCATTGGTAAATGAGTTTCAACCTTTCATAGAAGCAATGGATAGTTCACATAAACTGACTTTGGCTGTTAATCAAAAATATCCGGTAATCAAATTCTTGTCCACTTATATGCATGATGGAATTCTTTTTTCCTGCATGGTTTATTCTTCATTTACAGTGTTCCAAAATTTGGCCGCTTGGCTGCCTAAGTGGCCAGGAGGCCTTAGCGAATCGAATTCGCCTTCGTGGGCACCTCACGCAGACATGTGCGTGGACGCCTGCCCAGACGCTCACCTAGGTCCGCCGTCTGCCTAGTCGGGACACTTGGCAAAAATTGAGAGAAAAAAAAAGAAGTAAAAAAGAAGATCTTTAGAAAAAGATCTTCTCTCTCTACCTATAGTGCTCCTCTCTCTCTCTCTGCATAGACATTAATGAGCATTTAATGCTGGGACAACTCATCCCCACACACTAAAATATAAGTCTATCCATTTAATATATAAAAGTATTCATTTAATAATCAATGCTTCATCAACTGCACATCTCTCTCTCTCTCTCAAAGCAAGGACATCAATTCTACCTTATACTTGTTCTCTCCCCCAGCTCTCCAGATATGAAAATCATTAATAAGCATTTATTGCAAGGACAACCCATCCCGACACACACTAAAATATGAATTTATTCATTTAATGTATAAATATGTGCATTCAAAAATTAATGTTCTAGTCCACTGAACCTCTTGCTTTCCATATATAACACCTCCTCCCCCCCCCGGTTCTTTTTCTCTCTATGTGTATCTCTCTAAATTTAATACCCAACTCCTGGCATCTTGGGTGGCTGAACCTTTTACAACATTGTTCATTTATAAATGGATCTTTATTCTTCCTTGTAGTTTAAGATGATATTATGACATGTTCACCAGGGTGTCTATGCTCTTCTTTTCCTTAAAAGCGAAAAGGTGCGAGCAATTGGTCATCACCTTGCTGGATGTATGGGAAAGTTGAGGTAATACCTATTCTCAATCATCTCGATATGGTTGGACATAGATTTTTTCTAATGAGATCATGCTACCTTGTTACTAGGTAGCCAAAGTTTTGATCTTGAGAAACCCCTTTAGTTAGCACTATAGCTATTGAAGAGTTTGCTGTCTATATGTGCCAGAGTTGGCTTCTTGATGATGTTGGTGATGTAAATCTTTTGTGACCATATTCCTTTTTTAATAGTAAAAAAAAAAATGTGATAACATTTTTTTTCCTTGTTAGTCGTTTGCTGTTGGTATCTCATTTTGGTATGGTGTGGGTGGGGTTATGATGTAACTTTTTGAACAGACTTAGCTAAAGGCCTAAAGCCTGTTTATGGGGCAAATGAGTTTCTTATTGTACCTTAACATGCATAATGTCCATGTCCACTTACAAAGTATTGGCTTATTGACGACATCGCCACCTGCACAAACACGCTCCCTTATTTTCTGATCATAAACTGGGGAGTTGTATTGGAGATAGATCCAAAGGATGTGATAGTGGCTTCTTGTGTTTTGCTCCTAAAGCTATACTTCTTGCCCTTAATTATGTTGCTGAAAGAATCTTTTCATGCTTGTTGTTTTCATAACATGAACATGAACCTTTCTAATTGTTGTGGTGGAGAGACTTAACTTTGCTTAAATAAAATGAATTTGTGATAATGAAATTGTCCTTTAAAAATGTATAGCTGGATTTAAAAAATCCGCATCATGAATAATGTGACTCTTATTTTTTGTTGTAGTTAATCCCATATGATATTTCATGTGTTCTAGGAAAGCAGAAGATTTGGAGCCCCTGCAGCCTTTGCTGAAAAAGTGCATAGGATTTTTGGAGACAGAAGTTCTGACCTCTACTTTGGACACTTCAAGACCCAGAGTGCAGTTTGAACGCTTAACTGTTTGGCTAGGAATCAAAGTCTTGTACGTGAAGCATATTCAGCTTATGCCCAATTTTGAGTAGTTTTTTAATTCTGGATACTTATATAGCTTCTTTGTAACCCTCGTTTGTGATCTAAAGGCTTGGTTTCTTGGAGCCTCTGGCATTTGAAGAAGGGATACTTGAAAGACATCCTACTTTTCTCAGTATCGTTCTTAACCATGTTAGTGATGATACATTGGAATTCACTCATGCAGTTACTTGTCTCAAATTTCTCTTCGAAACTCTTGGTAGGTTCAAGGCTTTTATTTATTTATTTATTTATTTTTATTTTAGCTGTAAGTGAGGGATGCAATTCGGTTTAACTAAGAATTTTTTTTCCTTGTTTTCTTTATATATTTTTGGGTCTGCTTTTAGGATGCAAACTTTGGTTGAGGACTCCATTCTCCCCTAGTGTAATGCGAAATACATTATTGGGTCAATGTTTTCACACCAGAAGCGAGAAAAGCCATAATCAAATATTTGATCTTTTTCAGCCATTTCTGCAGGCATGTCCATAAATTTTTGAGTATATTTTTAGTTTAGCAATATGTAGCTGGACTTCCTTGTCTTGTACTATTTAGTTTCTCCATAGAATTGCTTGTCTTTCGAGTTCTTGTTGTTTTGGAAATGAAAGTATACCATCAGTTTCTAACTATCAAAAACAAACAATGTTTGTCAGTCCCTTGAGTCCCTTCAAGATGGCGAGCATGAAAGACAGCGCAGGCATTTTATTTATTTTCTCCTCCATCAAGTAACACAGGGCAGTAATTTCAGTTTTCTAATGAGAAAAAAGGCTCGAAAGGTTTGTTCACTTCCTTTCCTTGCTTTACTTCTTCGTATCACTTTGCAAGATGTTTAGTATTATGTACCAGAGTAGTGTGGTTGTGAATTGAAAAATTTATTTACAGTTAACATGCCCTTGCTCTTCTCTTTACAATGTCAGTATATATATTCTCGTATCTAATTTCCTTTTGCTGTTTGTTGCAAGACTGTATTTTCAGATAGCTTTTCAAATCATAGATCGTGGTTATAAGATGAACCCTCCATGCCCGCCTTCTGAATGTTCGCATGTGTGGTATGTTGACATCGAATTATCTTTGTTAAAATTACGAATTGTTTTGGATCCTTAGTGCGCTTCTTGTGTGACCTTCTGAAATTCTTCCCTTTTATTTTATCTCTCTTTTGTTTCTACGACTAAGTATTCACTCATAGATGTTTCTGTCAATTTCTACATGGAGATCTATACAAACTGTTTGTTTTTTCCCCTTTGTTTCCTTCATGATTAACTTTATTAGTGGGTAAGAAAGGGCAATCTCATAAATCTTCTGTAGGCCATCCGTGGTTCTCTTAGGATTATAAACCTCCTAAAAGCCTTCCTCTTGATATGCAGAGAGCCCTCATTCAAAAGCTTGAAGAAATACAAAACAAATAAGTAATAAGAAAGCATCTCCATTTTCCATATCTATACTACTCTCTGATCTCCTTCCTAAAAGGACCCCATGGTATCCCCCGATGAACTAAATATCAGAATTCTCTCTGGACTCACTCAAGAAATAATAGGGTGAATTTGAGACTCGGCGTTGTCTTATAGACTTGACCAAGACCCGGGGGTTTTCCAAATGTAGTTAATTTGGCAAGTTCTAAGGCACTGCTCTTCCAAGTGTTTCATTGCTTTCCCTCCTCAAGTTGTACTTGGCACAACCTACAAAACCCCTGGCCGTACCCCTTTCGATGTTACTCTCAATCCTTGCTCCTCTATTTAACTGATGTCCTCTTCTATTTGAGTTATTTTCCTTCTATGCCCATGGGCCTTCGCTACCGTTCTGTCTAACGGCTTCTTCCGTTAGTATGGATTAGCGATATATTTAATAGGGGGATTCTTCCTTGATGTTTTTATAAGGATTACAGGGTTGATAACTTTCTTCTTTTTCCCGTCTGATTATAATGAGATTCTCTTTTCCTTTTGTAAATTTTTTTTGTCTTTATCTGTTTCTCCTGGAACATTTATTATTTTCTACTAGTTCATGTCAATCCATCTCTTTCTTATGGATACATGTGTTCGATTGTACAGGGGGCCTTCCTTGGTGTGCTCTTTGAAGGATTCTTCTCTTCACAAATCTCTTCGTGAGCCGGCTTTTGATCTTATTCGTACCATCATAATCACCGATGCAGCTGCTTTAATTTCTCTGAAACTCAAGTGCCACACGTGCCCTAGTCCTGTTAATAGTATGTCTTTTGATTTAAATGATGATGAAGATGACCTCCCTTTTGATCATGATGTAGAAGAGACTGAAAACAGTTGCTGGGCTGAATTTAGTTCTTTGGGAAAAGTAGCCTCTCGAGAATGCAATGAGTGGATATGCATTCCTCTTCTATGGTTGGAAGTTTTAGTGGAAACGGATCCATCTGCGCTTCCCATGTCATTTTCCAAGGCTGTTTTTTGGGCCTTATCTCGTTTTTCTGTTGTTGAACCCGAGGATAGTGTTGACAGTACTCTTTCTGTGAGGGATTGGATATTCTCTCATGCCAAACATATCTCAGCTTCATTTAATTGGGATATTCCTAAGGGTTGCGATGACGGTGGAGCTGGCAAGGAGTCAAAAAATTCAGTCAATTCATCAACATCATGTATCATATTGATAAGAATGCTTAAGAGGTTGCTTTTCGTTGAATCTTCTGCTCTCCCCAGCATTTCCTATGGGGAAGGTATACCAAATCGACTGTGGGAAATTCAAAGTACATAGGGTCACACCAGCCATTGAATGGTAGATGCTGATGGAGAGAGGGACCCACCAGAATAGGACATAACCCAATTGTGGGTTCCACTCTCTCTCCATTGTTATCCATCTTTTCATTGAATGGTGATTACCTAATTGGCTATGGTTTTTCTACAGTCCATTGGATCTGCTACGTAATAATGCATGTAATTGATATTCACATGTTTTATACTGTTATTGAATCATTCACTATGTTATTTATTAAGATGGACTCATCTGGCAGTATTCTGCTCGATTACAGGTGTGCCGCACATTTCGTTACAAAATTAGAACAAGGTGAACTTCTGAAACAGTGGGCATGGGAGCCAAGGATGGCTGAGTGCTTAATCCTTTTGCTTGTAGATACAAATGATGTAAGAGGGTGGTTATTGGCTTGTAAATGAAATCGGAAGCTTTTTTTTCTCTTTAACTTTCTTTCAAATACCAGTATGGATAAAGCAGTATTATTGTTGATACAGAATGTGAGGCAAGTTGATCGGTTTATTCTGGAACACCTTTCAAATTCACGATGTCTTGCAAGTGGTTTGCACTTCCTTTGTTCTACTGTTGTTTCCTTGTCAGCAATCTTTGTGGGTCTGCGCTATGCTATGAAACTGGTTGGTATCTAACATGCATCACAGCAGTTATTGTATGTTGAGAAAATTTCTAGACTCATTTATCAACCTCTTTTGTAGGGGTCTTTATGATAATCTCAATCATGTATTTGTTTATTCATTTTTGTTTCAATTATTTTGAGCTTCCTTCCTCGATTTGTTCACTATGTATCCGCATGTATTTCCCACAATTTATTATTTTCAAAAGTTGGTGCTGAATTTATATAGCATCATTAAGAAGGTCTTGGATACTCTTACGAGAATGTTGTGTGACTGTTCCTGTAATGAGTAGTGGTTGTTTTGGACAAAAATACCAGCTTGTTTGTGATAATGAGTTTATTCATTGTATTTTATCAGTCTTTGAATTTATGGTACAATGGAATTATCTTTTCACGAATTCTTAGTTTGAAATGCCTTGGTTGTTGTTATTAAGTTTCTTTGCACAATTATCTGTTTATATATAGTTTATACAATGGCTTAAGAAGAATGTGCTGGTGTATTTTGTGATCCAGATATCCCCTTCCTACTTGTTACTTTTGCTTTTAGTATTATCATCATCATCATCATCATCATCGTCATCATCATCATCATAGCCTTTTCCCAACTAATTGCGGTCGGCTTTGCTTGTAATATCATATTTTAGTATTGTTTTTCTTAAGCATATTATTTAAGATTTCTATTCAAGCGTTGCAGTCTTGCTCGTAGAAAAATGCTACAGAGAAGAAAAAAAGAAGAAGTTATTTTTGTTACTACATGTTTTTATCCCGTGGAGGTAGCTGTTTAATAACTTTACGAATTAGGCATCTGTCGTTTGTGAGTATTCACTGGAAACTTTAATTTAATATTCCTTTTTACCTTATGTTTTTATCTATTTTCTTGATGGGTTACCTTTATTGCCAAACACAGAGATCTTTTGAGAGTTTTAGTGTATAGAAAATGCTAAAACAATGGAAAAGACTCCCACACCCAAATCTGGGTCAAGATGTCAAAAGATATTGTTGGCTAATGGGAACAGTTCTCTAAAGAGCTGGTGGTTTTTAGGTCTCCTCCAAGACATATAGTATATTCTAAAGTCCAATTGATGCCACCATATTTTTTAGAGTCTCATTTTAACTTAGCAGTGCTGAGAATCCAAATTTTTTCTGCACTTCTCTCCTGAGCTTGTGCATTACCAACTGCCAACTGAAGTGGGACCTGATTTTTTCAAAGAGCTGCCGTCAGAGTTAAGTGGTCCTTTCTAAAGGAACCTGTGCCTTCTCCCCTTCCACTGGGGAGAGCTTCATTGCCAACTAGTGGCCTCCAGTTTCTCATAGGCTTTCTACCCTAAATGCCCTAAACATCTTTTAATGATCACAAGAACAATTTTTTTGGATTTGAACTCACATGTGCTTCGTGTTGCAAACCTCCAACCAGAAATAGAGTCTGCATCATTTTTTAATGGCATTATCTGTTTTGAGATTATGTTCTTTGTCAAGATAGAAGTTTAAGTCTAGGTTATATGATTATGAACAATGTTGTGTTGTTATTACAAATTCTTTGTTTGACAATAAATTGTTAACCACCCTACGTAGCAGACGGGATAATATCTAGTGTGCAAGCCTTCATGATGCTTGTTTCCATGATGCTACCATCTCACGAACCAGAATGCATTTTGACGCTTCCCCTGTCGCACTTTTATCTTGTGTCTTCTTTGCTACCATGGTTCTGAGATCAAAATAGTTTTCTTTCTATTATTCTCTTTATCTTGGAGATTTATTTTCGAATGTGTTCTTTCTACTTAGGTGCCAAATGTGTAATCCTTCTGTTCTTACTTTTTATAACTCCTATATTATTCAGGTGCAAGCTGAATCTCTTCTATCAAATTTTCATTATTTACATCACCTATTCTTCGTTGTTGGCAAACTACTCAAGGATTCAGTTACAAGGGGCTCAAATGCAACTGCATATTCAGCAAATGACTCAAGTTCCAAGTTTCAATTTGATGGGGGTTTCTTGTGGCAGCCAAAAATATATGACATTGCAACAACTTCGGAAGATTCAGCGAATATTGTGGAAAAGAAGAATTGGAACAAGTTCTACTGTTTGGTGTCAGCAATTGTTTGGCCTGCTCTATTGAAGTGCTTGACAGAAGGAAAGGAATTTATTGATTGCAAAAATACACAGGTCTCATGATGGACAACCATTTTCTCTATTTGTCAATTATTCATATTGGGTAAAATATAAATGATAAATGTAATCCGTAGTCTTTGAATTAATCTTGAGTTTTTTGATAATTTATATAATTTCTATATTTTGCTATCTTTGTTTGTTGCCATTGGGGGAGAACCTGCATTAAATGAGTAGAATTCTAGATATTAAAATAAGGACCATAACAAATTCAACAGAAACATGGTTGTCCTCTGACCATATCCTTTGGGAGGTGTGAATACTAGCTCTTCAGCCATGGAGGGTGGCTAGAATGGGATGTAACTTTTGGATTTTTATCCTGCTATTTAGTATTTTTTTTTGTTTTATAATGTTTATTTTTGTTGTCTAGATGACCTGTGTTCGTATACTGGAGATTCTTCCTGTTGTTTGTGAAAGAATCAGAACTTCTGAATTCCCGCTCTACGCTGGTTCTGAAGTTACAGTGCGTAGTTTCTTTGACTTCAAATGGCTTCATGATCTGATTGATTGGGGAAAATCATCACTTATTGTGATCAATAAGCATTGGAAGCAGTCTCTCATTTCTCTGTTGAATTTATTCAAAACGTCAGGCTGCAATAATTTTGGACTTCTTATCAATACTATTGAGTCACTTCCTTCTTTAGGTTAGACTTTCCCCCCTCTATTATTGATAAGTTTGAAACATGTCCAGTTTATTGTTTGTAAGTTTCAACTGTGAGTTATTCCTCTGCACTCCATTTGTAACAGGTTCTAAAGTGGATGAGTTACAAGAGCAAGTTTCGAGACTAGCCGTTTCATTATCACAGGAGGCTGAGAATGCAGTTGGAAGGAAAACCCTGAAGGAAAATAGTTTTGTTTTGGGACGTTGGCCCTCTTTGAAAAGAAACCAAGTTGCTCACATTGCTGCTGTGGACCTGGCACCAGAGAAAACCTCAGAAAAAGAGGTTATTGTTCTTTCTGATGATGAAATGGAAGAAAGTATTCTCTTCAAAATGCAAGGGAAGAAGCATGTCGGCTACAATGCTTTAGATACTAAGAGGGATCACCACTCATCAAGAGAGAGGCAGAGGGCTTCTCAAACTACTGCTGCTCCTAGAGATGCATTTGCTTCTCCTTGCTCGTCAAAAGATTTAGACAGTGAAAAAGTAGATTCCCTCAAACCAAGAGACCTTGCATCTCTACCAGAATGCACAATGAATCAGCCTGATTCATTGTTCACTAGCTCCATTAATGAATGTCTTAGCTCTTTCAGTTCAAATTCAGATGTCAGGCAGAAGAATTCCATGAAAAATTCTGAAAATAGCCCAGGCAGTGATTCCTTGATAAAAGAGATAGTATGTGCTATTGAAGAGCCAAAGGAGCATGCCTTAAATTTTGTGGGTCACCCGCTTTTGTTGTCAAGGAAGCCTAGTGCCCTCGTTCCTAAACGCCAAGTTATTCAACTTGAAATGCTTTCCAATCATAAATCACATAGATCAGATGGAACTGTTCAAAGATTTAGGCCTCCAAGGCTGGACGATTGGTACAAACCAATTTTGGAATTAGATTATTTTTCATTGGTAAGGTTAGGTGCTGGGAATGAAGATGAGATTCCTAACCTTACCGACTTAAAAGAGGTGCCTGTTTGTTTTCAATCTCCTGAGCATTATGTGGAGGTTTTCAGGCCATTTGTTTTGGAAGAGTTCAAAGCCCAACTGCTAAGCTCATATGCTGATACATCCTCATTAGATGACATGTGCTCTGGAACAGTACGCCTCGTGTCAGTTGAACGGATTGATGATTTCCATCTTATTCGTTGCATCCCTGGTGACCGGGAATCTGCTGTGTTCAGAGGCTGTTATGAAAATGATTTGGTTTTGCTAACACGTCAGCCCTTTCAAAATGCACCTCAAAATGTTCATATGGTTGGAAAGGTATTAATTTATGATATCGAATGTGGGAAGTTATGCCCTAACCCAATAGAGATGGCATACATTATCACATGGCCAGCCATTGTCTGTTCCTTCTGATGGACACAGCAGATTAACACTAGTGGTGCCCACCAGGACATTCACCCTGGTACATTAATCTCCATTGTCTATCATCGGGAGCATATAGTGGATGCCCATTTGGTGCACCATGTACCACACTCTGTTGGATTATGACATACTTTTCTTTTGAATATTGTAAGAGTTTGACTGCATGCTATAAATTGTTCTAGGAAAGTCGCAATGAGGGTTGAACGAATTAGGTAACCTATTATTTCATTTCTGGTTCCACAACTTACTTGATTCAGTCTGAAACCAATTCATGTTCTTAAGGTCTGCAATAGCCCAATACATCACAATTTGGAATGATCAGTTTTAGTGCTTCTTTCTTATGAAAATAAAGTAGTCAAACATTTTATGATCATCTGATTTTTTTTTCAGACAAAAAATGTGATCGCCTATGGTATTCTCTTATGGATTAAATAGTTTGTAACTCAATGACTTGTACTCCCATCCCAGGTTGAGAGGCGGGAGAGAGACAATAAGACAAGGTCAAGTGTTTTAGTGATCCGTTTTTATCTTCAGAATGGCTGTTCACGCTTGAATAAAGTGAAGAGGCTGCTTATTGAACGAAGCAAATGGCATGTAACTCGTATAATGAGCATTACTCCTCAGCTTAGGGAATTCCAAGCTCTTTCGTCGTTAAAGGACATCCCTATCCTTCCAATAATCTTGAGCCCAAGTGATTGTGCTCAGGTTTGTAATGAACCTCGAAAGATAGATTTGGGCAAGCTGTCACAGTCTTTGCAGCAAAAGCTGAAATCATCCTTCAACGAAAGTCAGCTCCAAGCTGTTACTGCTGCTCTGGAAACTAGTGACTCAAATGATGTTACAAAACTCTCTCTTATCCAGGGACCTCCAGGTTTGAGCTGCAACGACTTGCTCTCTATATGAAGTTTTCCTTGGGGAATAATACTATTGCCATGGGCTGTATTATATGGTACTCCGAGGCTCATACACCAGCAGCTATACCCACCAATTGATGGCCGGACATTAACTGGAATTGGGATCCACAGGCCATACATCAGTGGGAGTGGATTGTGGATGAGCCTTGGACTGCCATATTCCATAGTCAATTGGATTATAGAATCTTTCCTTTTTTTTCCTTCTTCTTGGAGGATTTAATAATTGTTGTAATCTTGTGATTGAACTTGGTATATCCTTTTGGAAAATAGTTTTCCAAATAAAGCTTAAAAACTTGGACTTAACTTGGGACTTGACCTGGTCCTGAGGCAAGTCAAATTGGGGGAAGTCAGCAATAACTCAATGTGACCCAGCTAAATGGGAAATGAAGAAAAAAATAATGAACTTATAAGGATTTATTGTTTCTTTAAAACTGGTTACTGGGTTATTGGGTGAGTCCAGAGTCTCATGGCTGACTTTTTACAGTGTCTTACTGTTTTATAACAAGTACTTCTTGCTTCTTAGAGGAAAAGTTAAAGGGCTAATTGTTTTTAAATATTATAATTGTAAATCAGTTCTGAATTAATGATTTTATAACGGAGTTTGTTCAAAGTTTAAACCTGTTTTTTTACAGGCACAGGGAAGACTAAGACAGTAGTTGCTATTGTGAGTGCAATGCTTTCTTTGGGTGATGCACTGAGGAGTCATGCATCAAGTGATAAGACTGGTGGCAGCTCAGAGCCAACCAGTAGTACATACTCTAGGCCTAGAGCACAGCAATCAAGCCAAGATGCTCAAGCTGCAAGAGCTTGGCATGATGCTGCACTTGCTCGACAATTAGTTAAAGATGAGGAGAAGGGCAATTCTTCCCCTTCAGAAAGATACAAAAGAGGAAGAGTCCTCATTTGTGCTCAGTCTAATGCAGCTGTGGATGAATTGGTTTCAAGAATTACCGATGAGGGCCTCTATAATTCTGATGGGAATTTATATATGCCTTACTTGGTTAGGGTTGGGAATGTGAAAACTGTGCACCCAAGTTCCATGCCCTATTTTATAAATACACTTGTTGAGCAAAGACTGGCAGAGCAGAAGATGAATGTGGATGATGGAGATGATGACATTATCATGGATTCTTCCATGGTTCTTCGTTCTAAATTGGAAAAATTGGTTGAGACTATCCAATTATGTGAAGCCAAACGTGCTGATATTCGAGAAGGTAATAATAAATTAGAGGTCAAGAGGGCTTCTGAAAATGGAGTTACTGAAGATAGTGAAGTCCAGGAAATGACAGAGGCTGCAATTGACGTGAGGCTTAAAAGCTTGTATGGTCAAAAGAAGGCAATCTACGTGGAGCTTGCTGCTTCTCAGGCACGAGAGAAGAAGTCCTTTGAAGATAACAAAGCTATCAAGCATGATATGAGGAAATTAATCTTAAAGGAAGCTGAAGTAGTAGTGACTACTCTTAGTGGGTGTGGTGGGGATCTTTATATCACTTGCACAGAATCTATATCTCGGAGTCGTTATGGAAGCCCTTCTGAAGATTCTCTATTCGATGCTGTTTTGATAGATGAAGCTGCTCAGGTGCTTTGCGTATCTCTCATGCATACATCACTTTGCGCCATTTATTAGCTCACATCCAAGCACAAACATATAGATGTTCACATCCATGCGCAAACATATAGTTAGATAAATGGATTGGTATAGATTGAAATGGATAGATGGATGGATAAAAAAATACATGGATAGATAAATAGATGAGTAGATGGATGAATTGATAATAGTGTGTTTGCAGTAGGTTATCATGAGTACATGTTTTTTTAAAATGTGGATAGATTTGCTGCTCCATAATTAGTTATGGAAAATATGTTATTTTCTAAAAGCTGACAGATTTACTGCTCCATTTATTTTGTACAATAATTTTGGCAAGAGGGTTAGAATCCTTTCCAAATCTTATGTAAGCTAGCCTTAAAAAGCGGCTTTTTACCGATTTTTATTACACTTAAGGCATTGGTGAATGCTTGGGGTAACCCTGGCATTGACCGCTGTAGGAGAAAAATGGAAAGTGCAGAATTGCATTGTATTTTCACTTTTGCAAATGGAGCCTAGGCATTGACCACTGTAGGAAATAAATGGAAACTGCAGAATTACATAATATTTTCACTTTCCCAAACAATTTTTTTTTAGCCTAACTATCTCGGAAAGTATACCTATAATCCAATGGACTGTTGGAATATCATAGCGCAATGGGTGATCTCCATCCATTGAAGTGAGTAATGACTCAATGTACTGTGGTTTTTAAACAGTTCATCTCATTAAAATACACCTTCCCTGTATATGATTAGCACGGATTTTTGGTTACTATTTTTTTGCTGTACTAGCTTTCTGAGCTTTCTAACTGAACTGATTGCTTTCCCTATTTTTCTTCCCTGCTTGTAGGCTCTGGAACCAGCAACTCTGATTCCTCTTCAACTTTTGAAGACCAGCCGAACCAAATGTATAATGGTAATTGGACTTCTTGCTTGCAACCCATATTGCAATAAGAGAGTAACTTACGGAAACTAAGTGAAACTTGGAATATATCTGTTTCTGAAGGTTGGTGATCCTAAGCAGCTTCCTGCAACAGTTTTGTCTAATGTTGCTAGCAAATTTCTTTACGAGTGTAGCATGTTTGAGCGCTTGCAAAGAGCTGGGTTCCCTGTCACAATGCTTAAGACACAGGTAAAGAAAATGGTTCTGTTACTTTTACTGAAAATACAAGGGATTTGTTTTGTTTGCTGCATTGATCCTGGGTTGTGTCCATCTTTTTCAGTACCGAATGCATCCAGAGATATCCATGTTCCCTTCGATGCATTTTTATGATAGAAAGCTTTTGAATGGTAGTCAGATGATTAGCAAATCGGCATCCTTTCATGAGAACTCATACCTTGGACCATATATCTTCTTTGATGTCATTGATGGCCAGGAGCATTGTGGAAAGAGTTCCAATGCTCTCTCCCTTTGTAATGAATCTGAGGCAGATGCTGCAATTGAGTTACTGTGGTTCTTCAAGAAAAGGTAATGGCTGCACCTTCATGGGGTAAAAGAAAGCTATAGTTGCATGAATAACAAAGGAAAGGGGAAGCTTTCTCAAGGTTCTGTTGGTTTGATGAATCCTAGTTGGAGTGAGATCAAGGTTGCTCCATTTTGCCTACTAAAAAATTGTTGCCCCTAAGATTGTCGTTGGTCTGAAATAGGAACTGCACAGGGATCGACTTTTGACTGATTTGAAACATTTTTCTGCAATTAGTAAAGGAAATAGAAACAAATTTATTTGGCCAATCTGGACCATTTTCAAGAACTGATTGGATTGGCCAGCAAATTTATTATTTGACTCGACCATTTATTATTTTTTGATAACATTGGTTATCAAAGTGTAAGCTTACTTTAATCCAAATGACTGGAGAAACTCATCCATTTTGTCATCACCTTCCAATGAAATAATCTGTGGAGATGGAGAGAGAGTATTGCCCACCCTTGGGCTCATGCCTTGTCGTAGGGCCTCCTTTCTCTCCTTAACCATCCATTGCATTGTATGATGATGACCCAAATGGAGTCTGGTTTCCATTGTCCATCCTATGTAGGATCCTCTTCCATTTGTGAAGCATTCACTAATTTTGATTCATTTTTGTACAGGTATCCATCTGAGTTTGTTCGTGGAAGGATTGGCATAATAACGCCATACAAAAGTCAGGTCTCTCTCTTACGGTCTCGTTTTGTTAGTGCATTTGGACCAAGTGCTTTGGATGATGTCGAATTTAATACTGTTGATGGATTTCAAGGCCGTGAAGTTGATGTGCTAATACTCTCCACCGTAAGGGCTTCAGAGCAAAACAACAAAGAAGTGAGCATGAGTTCAAGCAGCATCGGTTTTGTTGCAGATGTGAGGAGAATGAATGTGGCTTTGACTCGGGCTAAGCGCTCTCTATGGGTGTTTGGTAATAGAAGGACGTTGAAAACCAACCTCCATTGGGAAGCTCTTATTAGGAATGCTGAAGAAAGGAGCCTTATTGTAGCAATAGAAAAGCCTTATGACTCATTTTTTAGGAAGAGGAAAGACGACAGACATGCAAACATCCAAGGTGTCAAGTCTCGCAAGGAAAGTAATGATTTAACGAGAAATGAACAGGATCGAGTAACCAAGAGTGTGAGTGCACAATTCTCATCCAATTCTATTGAAACTGATGGTAAGTGTGTGAGTTCTGCAGTTCATGGACATGATGTGAGATTAAGAGATTCCCCACATGAAAGGGATCATAGGGAACACAGGCCTAGAAAGGATGTAAAGACATCTGTACCAGCAACATATGGACGTCATCATGAGCATAGAGGTAAAACGGTCACTGTAAATGAGAGGAGAGAGATCAGAGAAAATCATGATGATATGTCTAGTACTGGGGACACTCAGAAGGGGGAAGGTCGGTTTGATAGGTCGCAATCTGAGATGCCTAGAGTGAATGCACACTCAAAATCTGAAAAGATAAAAGTAGATGGTGAAGCTTCTAGCTCAAATGAGGTGAAAGGAGGTGCATCAGCTTTGGAAGATATTTTGATTGTTGATTCCAGTCAACAAGACTCTAGCACAACGAATGGTAAGGGAGAGGAAGGGGTTCAAGGTCAGGCATCAAATATTGATGCTGCCAAGGATTCAATCATTACACGAAAGAGGCAGAGGGAGGCTGTTGATGCTCTATTATCGAGTTCTCTCATTTCTAACAAGAAGCCCGAAACCTCCAAGCTTGCCTCCATCACAAGACCCCCTTCTTCTGCGATGGATGGTAGAAATACCATTAAGCCTTCGAAGCCAAGCAAAGGTAAGGCTTCCCTTTCAAATATATGAATCTTTTTTGTTTGTTTTCCTGTATGCTATAGGATGCTTCATATAGATTCATTTATAATTGTACATTCTTTTATTCGTTACATGTTTTTCTGATTTTCCTTGTCTCAATATGTTTTTGTATTGCTTCTGATTTTTTTTACTTATCATTTATTTGTTTAAAGTTGTAACGTTGCAAATGTTATAAAGTTTCAAAGAACAATGTTATGTCTGGCCATCTATTCTGTATATCTTACCCTAACTAGGGCTAAAATCTTAAAATCTTCTTCTTTTCTATGTGCATATGAGTTTTGACAACCTAGACATGAACTCAATGAAGTACACAATGAAGTCAAACTGTGGCTTATTTAATATTACATGCTTTCATGTCAATTACCAATCATTTAAATCTACTTGTCAATGTACTGAGCAATCTTGTACTGAGCAATCTATTCCTAATATGTGGCTTTTTTGAGAAATTGCTTGAACTTGACAGGTCCCCTTAAAATCCGTCAACTACAAGGAACAACTGAAATGCCTCTCCCTAAAGCTCATCATCCAGAACATGGTGTCAAGGGTTCATCAAGTGGCATCAACTTGGATAGAGAGTGGAAAAGTTTTAATGATCTTCGGCAGGACTAGAAACGACCTTAGCCCATGGTCCAATTCCATCACCATTCATCTATTGCCAAGAATGCTGGGGAAGAAATGAAATCTTGGTAAACTTAGAACACTCTAGAAGGTGGCATTGACATGATTCTCCCTTAAAAGGGTTTGGAATCTGGTATTCACCTACCAACCTTCTGTATATTACTCCTTTTGAGTGCTTAGCCTGTACAGTAAAATCTTTTTATTCCTAGATGTTACAGAAGTTTTGGGGCCCATTTTTGTTGGGAAGCTAGTGTAAGGCAAGTTTAGCTAAGATAGTTATAGAGTGCTCTCTGTTCAGGTCCCCTGTATTATAAGTTATAACATGCCGTTCTCACCTCAATGAAATGCTATTTTCATGTGAAGGGTACCTCCTGTATTTCATAGGTACTTTATTTTGTTGTGGGTTTCTTGTATTTTAGAAAGCTGGTCCAAGAATGGAGATTAGGTTGTGCTCCCTTTAGCTGATATTGCAAGATGTGATACTTTTTGTTTATGTTATGTTGCTTGACCATGTCTGGCTGTTATATTACTAAAGTATACTTGAGGCTTGTGCAAATTCTTTTTTGCAAGTGATCCCAAATCTTTCTTCACATGGCGAAGTCCATTATCATTGCCGATATGACAATTATGATCCACATTGTACAGGATAAGGATACGGAAATCCTCATGACCATGGGGCATGTGGGAATGAGGATCACCGGCATCCACTCAATGGTTCAGATGGTGATGGAGAGTGGTATCCACCATCAAAGCTGTCCTGCTGTAATATGTCTTACTCTTTCTCCATCACCATTCATCCGATTGATTGGATGGTGGTGGCCTTCATGACCACATATTCCTTGTGGTCATGAGGATTATAGTATACTTTTACTGATTCCTGTGTACCTTTTCATCCCATTAGCTGCCATTCTCATTAATTAATAATTAGTAACAATGATACCACAATTTGTAATGGCCATAGGATTAGTATACTCTGCAGGACTGGTGTATTGTATATGGTTATCTTCAGGGTCATCACCATCCATTTCCTATCATGGACTGTATTATGTATCATACACTGATGATATATGGTATATGTGTTATGTCATACACTGACTATATATGGTATAAATGTCCTCAATAAAGTCCGAAATGTAGAGTATGAGCATTTTTAATCAAAACTAGAATACTTATTAGCCATTCACTCGGCACAACCCTTTCTATGCTACACAAGCCTTCTCTCTATACACAAACTCTCACATTTTCCCTTTCTCCTTGTTTGGTTAAAAAGAAATAAAAATAGCAGAAGCTTGAGGGTTCGTGCTATTGTTAGAGAGTCAACCAACTTTTTCCGTCTTTCACTCTAAATTTCTTGAGCTTTCCAAAAAACATAACAAAAATGATGACCAATTTGCCCTCCTTACTCCATTGACCAGAGAAGCTATATAACACATCTTTGCAGGACTTGTTGGAGAGCTTATGTAATTTTTGGCAACTGTAACCCACTGATAATCCAACATTTCCATAGGCACTGCAGGCATAAATTCCAAAATATTTTAAAAAAATCAATTTCCCACTTCAAAACTTGAGTATATAATGACAAGAATACCCCTTGATTTGTCATAACATATAATCTCTCATTGGTTATTCAAACCCGAGTGTACTTCATTTATAAAAGCTGACAAAAGGCATGAATTTTCATAAAGGAAAGAATGTGGTGAATTCTCTATCTTGGGTAAGTTTTTTTTTTTTGGTGCAAAGCATGCCTTGTGGATGGAAAATTGTTACATAAAGGGCCAACCGGGTGGATTAAAAAACATAAAGATCACACTTAGTACACATTTGGAGATTTTAAATAAAAAATAACAAGTGCCCATTTTGGGATTTGGACTTAAGCCTTGGTTTGCCATTTTCTGCTCTACCTCCTTTCCCCATTCAATTCTTTTGCCTTAATAACACGGAAAATTCTATTATGCTATAAGGAAAAGGTTATCATATATACTCAAGGTATAAACTTTTATTCATAAATAAGAATTATATGACCATTTCTAACATATATCGGCTTTTTAGATTGAAGTATTAGACACTCTCGGCACTTGTAGACGCTGCTACTCGTCGCTTAAAAAAAAAAAAAACTCAACCGCAAAAAGAAAAAGAAAAAGAACAACCACAACATTTAGATCTAAAGTTGTTTCTTATAAGTACCCAGCAAAAAAATCTATCCTAATCTAAACAGTCCCAATAACTAATAGTCTAATGGTCATTTTACAAATTATTTAGATAGTCTTTTTTTTTTTCCTTATGGCATTTAGTCCAGTGGCTTAAAATCAATGTAGTAGTTTACTTATTTTAAAAAAACTTAGGAATCGGGCATGGGCTTGAGTGGCTACCAATACATGTGTAGCATTGCTCCATCTCATGTTCAATTCTTACTGCTGAACTACCCAAAAAAAAACTCTAAAAAACAAAAATAAAGAAAAATTAGAGAGGCAACACCTTACCTTAAGACTTCGAAAACAATGTTAAGAACATTAAAGTTGAGAGGGTCTTCTAATAATTGCCTCTGCTCTGTTATGCATATTATTATTACAAAAACCACCAGATTAGTAGGCTGTGAAAATAGGACTTTCTTTATTAGATTTTCTCCCTTTCTTCCCTTCTCTGGCTGGTTTTCTGACTTTTTTTGGACTCTCCTTTCTTTAGTTGGAAGGAAGCATGTATAGGGATGAAGGTACCTGTATACAAACGGGCACAAAATAAAATTTTCTCATCAAAGCATGACCATGATATCAATAAGACCGTTTAATTTTAGGACAAGAACGTCACAATCACCCTTAGCATTTAAATGTGAGATCCGGCGGTTGGAGGTGTTACCACACGCAAAAGTCCAAAACGATATTCTCTAGTTTTGTGACATACTTTTGGTGGTTTAAGTTCACTTATGATGCCTAAAGTGATTGTGACATTCTTGTACCATAAGTATTCGGTAGTATACAATGGTTGTAGTAAAATATAACTTTAACCATTCGATATCAGCTATAGACAATTTCTTTAGACTAACTTTACAGAAGATATATACCTGGGGATTTGCTAACATGAACTCTGTTTGTGTGTGTGTGTGCATGCGTGTGCGCCCTCGCAAAATGATTGCTTGCAAGGAAACCTTTATTAGGGGATTACATATTAACTGCATTTCTCTATGGAAAAATTTATGTGAGGGTGATGTCCTAAACAATCAAATTAGGGTGCACCTCAAAAACTCACTAGAAGAGGTTGTTTTGATGTCCAAAATTTTTCAAATCGATCATCTTGATCGTAAGATGTATGGACGTGAAAAAAATAGATTTCAAGTCTTGAAAATAGTGCATCTTGTAAGGTATTTTTTAAACCGTTAATTTTCAAGATTTTCTATCATTCATAAATCAGCTCAATCTACCATTTTTGAAGATTTAAATTTTAGAATTAGAGATGAAAATAAAATTTCAGGTCATCACAAATATTTTCAATATTAAAACAACATCTTTCGACACTATTTGAAGGTGTGCCTTACTTTGATTGTCTAGGGCCTCCGCCTTATACAAACCACACCCTTTATCTATTATTTTATAAGAAAATTTTTATATAAGGGTGAGGCCGTAAACAATCAAATTAAGGCGCACATAAAAAATTCATTGGAAAATATTGTTTCAATGCTGAATTTGAGCATCTTGATCTCAAGATGTATAAATACGAGAAAAATAAATTTCAAATACTAGAAATAGTGCATATTGTAATGTATTATCTAGAGGTAAATATTCCTATACTTTCCCTATTGTATAAAAATTCTATAGTTCTCCTATCCAACTATCCAATTTAGATCAAATAAGCCATTAACTGTTTGATCGAGATCTAATGCTTCATAATATTTTATTTTTAATTTTTATTCTACAAATTTGATGAATATGAAATTTGGCACGTGCCATCATCTCAATGGAACGAACTTAAAAGAATATCAAAAAAATATTTTTAATTAAATAAAATGACCAAAATACCCCTGAAATTTTTAGGGGTATTTTTGTTATTATATTTTATCAGGATTTTTTTATTTTTATTTCTTGTAGGTGAGAGTTTAAGAGAGGAGTGGACACCCAAAATTTGGTGTCAAAATATTTTATAGAAAAAAATTAAAAATAAAACAATGTAGTGGTGTGACATTATAATTGGATCCATCTCAACCGTGCATTCAGATATGATATAACTACTATATATTAGGGGAAATGTATATAACTACTATATATTAGGGTAAGTATAGAAAGCTTGCCGTTACTTATATTTTAAAGTGTTCATAGATCTTCTCGATCTACACTATTTTTTAATATTAAATTTTATAATTAGTAATAAAAATAAAATTTTAAGCCGTCATAAAGATTTCTAATACTAAAACAATATATTTCAACGTTATTTGAAGGTGCGTTCTACTTTGATTGTTTAGGGCCGGCCATATACAAACCACACCCTTATTTACATGCATGCTTTGGATGGTTTCTATAAAAATATGCTTTGGATGGTTTCTATAAAAAGATGCGGTTAGCATGCTGCTAAGCCCGTACATGTTAATAAATTTATTTTTGAAATGGAACGCAATCCTAATTTTTAGAAAATATATAATCTTTAACATGAAGATCATGAATACAAAAAATTAAATAAATTTTAAAAATAAAAAATAATAAATTTATTAAGAAGACATTTGGACGGTTAGTTAGTTTCAATTGTTTTTAGATGGACCACTTTATACCTCTGGACTGCATATTTGTACAAATGTGGTCCATCCGCCATGAAACAATTGTTCCCATAAAAAAATTTCCTTCAGCCATTTGTATTAACTGTTGGTAGGATGAAAGGGCATCAGGTTTAACCAATCTTGAGACATGTACAAGCACAATAGAGAAACTTCACATGACTAATTCACAGAGGGAGAGAGAGATATTGTTTACTCACATCATCAAGCAGTAGAGCACCAGCAAAGCCGGCTTTAGGAGAGACAAATCCACCACGGATTCACCCGAATACCTCGTATTGACAGAGAGAAACAACCCTGCAACCACTTTCTCACCATTGCCAAACCCACTGAAAGCCTCCGAGTTCCACTGTAACCAGAAAAACACTACAAACTGCACCACTATGAAGCCAGAAACAGTGAGAAAAAGATACACCGATTCTTCGAATGAGAATAAATGGTCGAAGCCGATCTGCTTGTAATTCTCAAGAAGATATCCGAACTCCTCTCGGCGTGTCAACCTTCTTAGAAAGGAGATAACAAGCCTCAAACAAGAAGGGAAGAGAGTGTTTCCAAGTAGAAATTGAGGGATAATTAACAAGAGAAGAAGGGTGTCCTTTTTGAAAGCTATCATATTCTCATTTGTGGGAACAAAGCCACAGTTAGCAAAGGAAGAAACTGTGAGAAAGGCTGAGAAAGTAAGCATTTGGATCCCCCTACTCCTTAGTAGATGCTTTGCATGAGAAGCAAGGCTAAGATACATAGCAATGAGAGCAGTTCCAAATATATGGATCACAGAGTAATAACACAAAACCACATTTCTCAAAAGCCTCAAAGAATTGAGCTTCAAATCTCCTTCAATTTTTGTTTCCAAGGACCCCACACCATTACTGACTCTCAAATCAGGGTCATTGTTTTCATTGGTTATTGACTCTAGATCAATTTCCTTTTCAATCTTGAAAGGATTTGAATGATGGTTTTCTCTAGTGATCACACGAAGATTGGTCTTTTGGCTTTTGTCATTTGACATGAATTTCCTAATTTGGAGGCCCAGCATAGAGGTGAAGATCTCACCACCTAAGAGCATCAGGACAGTGAGAACCACCAATTGAGCATTCGAAAAGTCCTCCATTTCGACCGAACCCAAGCTCGATGAGGTTGTAGCAGAGGCCGACATGTAGAACATGTCGAGATTGCTCTTTTTAGGATCCTTTCGTGGCTCCAAAGAGTACAAACTCAACAACCCAATTAGAGTTACAGCCAAGAAATACCAAAATTGAATCCAAAAGGAGCCGATAGGAATTAATGACCAAGCAAAGACATCCTGACAGAACTTACTAAAATAAGCGAGTCGTTTAAAGGGACGGTCCCGAAAGAAATTCATGGTGGGTTGAAGAGAAGAATGAGATGAGAGAAAGAGAGAGAGAGAGAGAGAGAGAGAGAGAGTTGATAGTAAGAGTGGGAGTGATGGAATTTATAGGGACGGTGTGGTCGAGAAGCGTCTACGGTTGTGAAGTCCATGGCAGTGACCTCCTCCACGTAAATGGGTGAAGTTTCTGTAAGGCCTAGGCTTTATGAAAACAAAAATAAAGCCTCACCTCGAATTGTTGTCTTGAAAGCACTTTCATCATAAGAAATCTCTGTGATGGATCTAAATCAATTTCCAACACCGACGATAAATTTAGAAACTCACACTTATTTTTAAGGTCAAATGAACGGTCTAGATAATTTGTCACAATATACACAATTTTTAGAGCTTTAAATCTTAATTTTTTTCCACAACTAATATGTTATGAGACGATCGATGTAAAGGTTTTACCATGCTCAAATTGTTATTTTCGATGAGGTAAGGCTTTACTTATTTTGATAGGGCTGCAGCCCTATCAAACCATTGGAAATACAGTTTACCAATCAGATTCCTGGTCAACCGTCTACCTCCGGTATGAAATTCTCCCTGCCCCACCATCGACTTAGTGTTTCCACCACTTTCTCTCTTTTCTTTTTTTTTTCTTTCGGAATGTTAACTTGTGGCTTTCTCTCTCTTCCATTGTTAATTAATCTGTCTTAGTTAATTAATCGGTTCTTCTTTAATTAATCGGTTATTCTGTTTTTGATTAGTGTCCTGATAATATTTCTTAAGTGGAATCAAAATCTAAGGGAATGCATTCTATATGCATATAAAGTTTTTAAATCACATAAGAGTATTGGTAGGTGTATCATGTTGTTATTTACGTGTGCACATGCATGCATGTAAGCGTGGTCAGCAATGGGAATTCGAATTCGAATTCGAATAGTTAATGATAGTCGTCGGTTTAGAGTATGGTAGAAAGTGTGTGTGCCTTGGAATTCCTCATATGCGCATATATATATATATATATAAAAGAGGACGTGGCACGTTCCTAGCGTTCCTAAAACGCGCAAACCGTACCCTCTCTCCGCGTTTGCGTGTTGCGTGTAAAAGAATACAAGAAGTCGGCATATTATCATTTTGGATCTACCAATTGATACTTATGTGGTATATACCACATGATACTTATGTTTGATGCTTTAAAACTTTCAATTTTTTTTTTAACCTTTTTTTCCTACTTACTATAAAAGCTACCTGTTTGGATGTACTCCTTATCACATCATGATACTTATATGAGATTTAATATCACATAAAATCTCACATCCATCTCTTTTTAAGTAGTTTGCAACTTGGGACTTGTTTGGATGTACTCGTTATCATTGATAATTTATTATTTAATAATAAAAATGATATATTATTTGGCGATACACTTTATAAAATTATTCGTGATCAACTTATACGTAGATTTACATATAAGTTTATCTTTTTAAAACGGTTGCTGAAAATCACATGTTTTTATCTATTAAAATTAGCTTAATATCACCAAAAAGTTAAAAAATTAAACAATATTATAAACTTATTACCACATACCTAACGAAACAATATAGCATATTAATTTTGGGATTGAACACTATAAGATCATCCACTTTTAGTATGAGGTGGTTACAATCATATTTAATTATTGAATATGAAATCCGACAGATTGAAGTGTTTCATAATTGTCCAAAATTTTTTATTTAAAACTTCATGCCCAATCAATAATACATCTCCAACTACTGTCTAGTCAATAACACATCTCTAACTACTGTCAATAATAATTGTGATCCCTTTTTACCAAAAGTATAAGATGATCTACTTTTGATAGCAAACCAATCCTTAACGTGTCTCAAAGGCCAATTTTACTATCAGGATTTATGGTGCTCGTCATCTATATAATATAAGTCATGTCAAAATTGCAATAGAGAGATTATTGAGTATCCCTTAGGACCAAGAAATGGTCTATACACCAAAGAGGACCTAGCGGGCATCTGCAAAAGGGGCTGGGTCGTGGTGGTAGCACCCCTAGACCCTAGTCACTTCATCGTGATTTCCATGCCTGGTGATACTACCCCAATAACATCTTAAAAAAAACAACTCCTAAACTATTTCAAAAAAATGGATAAGGGCCTATCTTCCCCCACCAAATTACCAAAAAAAAATAAAAATAAAAACCCGATAACATCTTAAAAAAAGTAACTCTAAACTATTTGAAAAAATGGATAAGGGCCTATCTTCCCCCCACCAAATTACCAAAAAAAAATAAAAAAAATAAAAATAATAGAGGGCATCTAAGAGCTGGATGGTCGGTGGGAATCTATTAATAGGCATGGCCCAAACAAGAACGAACATATCCACAGCTCTCTGACCTTTATACACCTTTGCAACTAAGAGTTGTGATCCTCAACCACCCATCAAAGTCATCTCCATCCTCATGTACATCATGCACAATGTCCCTGGCGTGAATCGTGCCGCCTAGATCTCGCCAAGTGTCTGCGGAAGATTGATTAACATTTTTAACACGTGTTTGGGTCCCACTAAGAAGAGGAAGAGGGGGTTCTTGGCCTCACCGAATGAGGAACACCACTTTGCAGGACGTCCCACTCTTATAAGTCTTCACGTTTTTCATTTATGAAGAGATTCGGATATTCGTCTAGTTGGGCTTAGCATAGCGTTTTTTAAAGCTCATGCCTTATGCTTTTATTATAAAGGTGAGAGATAGAGTGCATGTGTGCGGTCCTTCTTCCCAACACACATTTCTTTGTGAAATTTCAGAGCGCATAACAGCGAACTCGTCTTCAATACTTTTGAAAACTCTTTCTCACCACATATTTCTTTGTGAAATTCCAAAGAGCATAACAATAAACTCATCTCTCTCTACTGGTTTTTTCTCTTTCTCTCTCTATAATAATACAAGAATATGGAGTCTACTGCGGGCTTCAAGCTCGGGTGCATAGAGCTTTAGAGCATAAAAAATACCCCTTTGTTTTTCCTGTATCCTTAGGATGGGGTTTCCTTTCTTATGCACACTTTTTACAATATCGAAGGGGACAAATATCGTCTTGAGATAGAGCTCATGTATGCTCGAAGACGAAGAGTCAAGCTTCTTTTTTCTCGAAATTGTATTATCTTTTGCCCCTATTTCACCCAATCGAGTTCCAACAGCTCTGTCCCTCCCTCTCCCTCTTGTGTCTCTGTCTTTGAAAGTGGGCGATGGGCGATGGGTCTGGGTCAACTTCCATATTTTTGAACTGTATGAGACCTAAGGGCTGGGCCTTGGCCGAAGCTAGAAAGCTTGAAATATTCTAGGTGGCGCTGGGGCTTGTGGCCTGGCTTGGACCCATATTGAGACGTTTTTAAGCTTATATTTTGTATATTAAGTAAGGAAATAGTTTATATAAGGTTGCAACCTTAAAATGTAGAATTAAAACGCACATCAAAAATTTATTGAAAAAGGTTATTTTAATATTGAAAAAGCCTCTAATTGATCATCTCGACATCGAGATGGATGAATACGAAAAAGAAAGAAAGAAAGAAAGAAAGATTTCGAGTCTAAAAAATAGTGCATCTTGCGACATTATCTAGACCATCCATTTTCAAGATTTTCGTATGTTTATAGATCTACTTGATTTAACTTTTTGGAGTTTTAAATTTTATAATTAAAGATGAAGAAGATTAGTTTTGTATTGAAGAAGATTACTTGTTCCTCTTGGCCAAATAACAGAGAGAAAGAGAGGACGAGAGAGGTGAGAGATGGAGTTTTCAGAGATAGAGAGAGGAGAGATACGGAGTTTTGAGAGAGATAAAGATGGAGTCATTTTACAAAATGTTTAGATCAATAATGTATGATCAAAGGGGTCTAGAGGGTAGGTAGATAGGAAAAATAGAGGCTTCATGCTGCAAAAAATAGTTTAAATTCTTGGGTCTCCTGAGAAATAGAAATCAAAAATTAAGATTACATAGATATTTTCCCTTCTTAAAATTATTTTTGTTCCCTTTATAGTAGCACCCCACGATCAGATGGCACTTATTAATGTGTGCCACCATAAAATGGGCACATGCCTATTGTACTGTCAAATTAAAATAATACAAATTAAATATTATTTAGCAGTAAAAAATAAGGAATGAAAGATAGTTTCCTTTTACCTATTTTTGTAAAAAACAATGCATAACTTTTATGAACCATTTGCTAAAATATTTAGAAAAATAAATGAAACCAAAATGTCACTGACAAAAGTAAATCATTGGTAATAATATATAATAATAAAGTAAATTCATATTTCATTAAAATTTAAAAAGTCAAGATTATATAGATAAAAATGCAAAAAATATCAAAACATTTAAATACATATATAAAGGAAATTTAATCTAGGGAAAATTACACATATATCTATTATATTTTACGTTATTACGGATGTACCAATAGTTTTCGTTATTATATGTCTATCTGTTTTTTATCTTTCGTAACTCAATTTTTTTAAAAAGACGACTTTACCCTTTTTCGGGTATTCAACATTTGAATTGAAGAGTTTTCGGATGTTCAACATTCGAAAATAGCCGAAAGTTTAACGTTCGGATGTCAAAAATAATTTCGGATGTTGGACATCCGAAAGTAGCACATTTTCGGATGTTGAACATTCGAAAATGTGCATGCGAAAGAAACCTTCTGGAATTTTGCAGGCATTTTTTCAGATGTTGAACATCCAAAAATGTGCTATTTTCGGATGTTCAACATCCGAAAATAATTTCAGATGTTGAACATCTGAAAAACCCTTCAATTTGGATGTTGAACACCTGAAAAAGAGTAAAGTCATCTTTTTTAAAAAATTACGTTATAAAAGGTAAATAACGGATAAACATGCAATAACATAAACTTTTTGGTACATCCGTAATAACGTAAAATATAACGGATATGTATGTAACTTTCTCTTTAATCTATTTAAACTTTCTAATAATGCCTCTTAAATATAGGAGAAAGCCAAAAATAAATAAAACGAAAAAGAAACAAGCTCATTTCCTTGAAAATGAAAATTTTGATGATTTTGAG